TTTTAGCCACGTCTAATGTGGATTTAATGATGTCACTGAAAGAGGAAACCTCAAACCAGATTTGGATATCAGGATCTCTCAGCTGACAGGCAGGCCTCTCTCTACAGACCCTTAGATTTATTCATCGTATTTCAACCAAATGTTCAACCAGTGCACCACAGCTGTATCTCAACATCCCACCTCACGATTTAACCCTTGCTTTGACGTGACGGCTCGCAGATTTGAAAAACAAATCAAAAGCCATAAGTTCTGTAAGACAATGCAAACACCAGGAACAGCCTCTTACTGTGAAGATGCTAACCATGTTTCCTGAAGACCTGTAAAAATGTGTCAGATCGTGGCCGTGCTTTGTTGATGGGTCGGATCGTCTGCAGCTCCTGACTGAAGAGTCCCAGTCTAGACGTTCCTACTTTCTGCGCAGGTGGCGGTCGCCGTCTTGGTCCATCAGGATTGGATGCGCGTTGTTTCGCTGCCTTCATTTGTTTTCCAGACGTTCAGTTCTTTGCTTCTCAAATTAGTCGATTCCTAACGTGCAATAATGCAAAAATCTCATGAGAAACGTTGACCAGACCTAACCACTCAGCCACAGCCGTCGGGCATGACTCTCAGCTACGACCTCACCAAATTCTAGCTCCATGTTTGAAAAACGGGCCGAGTTGTAAATGTTGTCCTGTTGGCTAAGGTCAGTTAGCCATGGCAGCCATCTTAAATCTCACTGAATCCAAAAGTTAATCAGATGAAGATGGACATCTGATCTCTGCAGGGTGCAGGTCTGTTGGTCCATCTCACATTATGGACCAGACACTTAACCCCCCAGGGACACGGGGACTCAGATTGAGCGTTCCACCTTTCTCCATTCCTTCCATTCCGGTTCATCCCACCTCCCAGTCTTTGTCTTTTTGAGTGTCTGCTCTTGTGAAATATAAAAAATAACTTATTTTGCTGTGGCGCCAGGTGACGCCCCAGCTGATGCTGGCTGTGGGGACGGCTGTGATCGGCTCTCTGCAGTTTGGATACAACACCGGTGTCATAAACGCGCCTCAGAATGTGAGTAACTCCACTTTTCACTACTTTTTTCCTTAACGTGCAAGAATGGTAAATCAGGAAAGTCAGGAAAACAGTTTGGTCAGAGGTCTGGAATCTACAGCTGACCTTCTGACCTTCTGACCTTCTGACCTTCTGACCCTTCCATCTGCTGTTGGGATTTTACTCAAAGGAAAATCAGAACATTGTTTAAGTTTGGACTGAAGAAGTGAAACAGTGGATGATGAAGAACCACACCTGAGACGAGCAGAACTGCTCTGCCCGTTTTGTTTTCCAGATCATCGAGGGTTTCTACAATGAGACGTGGAGCGGCAGGTTCTCGGAGCCCATCGCTCGGAGCACTTTGACGGCTCTGTGGTCCCTCTCCGTGGCCATCTTCTCAGTGGGAGGAATGATCGGCTCCTTCTCTGTCGGCCTGTTCGTCACCCGCTTCGGCAGGTAAGGTCCCGCTCTTAGAAGCCACATCTCACCTGCGAATCGGCCCGTTCTGATCAGAACCTGTGCGGTCTCTGCAGGAAGAACTCCATGCTCGGGGCCAACGCGTTGGTGTTCTTCGCTGCTGCGTTTATGGGTTTCTCAGAACTGGCAGCTTCCTTTGAGATGCTCATCGTTGGACGTTTCATCATTGGCATCTACTCCGGCCTCTCCACGGGCTTCGTGCCGATGTACGTAGAGGAGATCTCACCGACATCGCTCCGCGGGGCGCTGGGCACCCTGCATCAGCTGGGGGTGGTCATCGGGATTCTCATGGCGCAGGTACGATCCCCAAACCACCAGTACACTCGTCACTTACCCACTTTAGAATAAACAAATTATAAAGATCTGAAACGGTCAACATGTGAAACTGTAATCTGGCTTTGAGGCTCAGTACAGTGATGAAGTGAGGACTCTGGTCTGTGCGACCAGCGGGATTAAACGACCGAACAGAGTAATTACACAGAGACAACGGATGATGACGCAATGCTGGATTTAGTTTTAAAAAATGTGTTAACCGCGAAGAGAATCACTAAACTGAGCAAATTTATTGGGTTTTGAAAATAATACGAGGCAGACGTCCCTCACACATTTAGTGCATTGAGCTCCACATCAACCCAGCTGAGTTCTGTTCCACGCCTCTTGGATTCGACGATGCTCGCTTCATTTCTGGGCCTGCTCCATCTGTAAATGTGTGAACGGTCAGAGGCAGCGTGTGGCCATTTTGCAGAACGGCATTATGAAAGAGCCTTGACTTCACCATCACCTGGTTGTGTTTGTGGTGCAGATCTTCGGGATCGAGTCGATCCTGGGGAACGCGTCGCTGTGGCCCCTCCTGTTGGGTTTCACTCTGCTGCCGGCCCTGCTGCAGTGCGCCCTGTTGCCCTTCTGCCCCGAGAGCCCCCGGTACCTCCTCATCGACTGCAACGAGGAGAGCAAAGCCTGCAGCGGTGAGACTCGCATACTTTGTCAGAGAGAGGCGGGGCCTCAGAGAGAGGCGGGGCTTCAGACAGTCTGTTTTTCAAGGATTTTTCTATAATAGATAAATAAATAAATACTTAATGTAGGCAAACTGCATTTTATACTGAAATTTAGTGTGACGCTGCTCGCTGAATCACTTTGCTGAAGAACCTGAAGCTAAAAATAAAAAACAGAACACAGATAAACGCTGAAGGTAGAATAAACTCTAAAGGTAAAAGCTGAAAACATTAAAACGCTTGGTAAAATCAGCAAAAAGCCTTTTTAAAGTAGCAAAATACTGGCTAAAAGCTAAAAGTAACAAAAGGATGGCTAAAAGCAAAATGCTAGCCAAAAGCTAAAAACAGCTAAACTCTTGCTAAAAGTAGCAAAAAGCTATCTAAAAGTAGAAAACGACTGGCTAAAAGCTAAATGTAACCCAACAAAAGCTAAAAGAAGGATCAAGCAGATTTAAAAGAGAGTATTTTTGGAAGGATTGGAAGAGATCTGAATATTTTCCTTTGTGGAAAAGTTTTATAAATAAAGTCAAATATTTGGAAAAGCATAAAAGTTACAGAAACCAAAAGTTGTAGCACCGATCTCCTGGATGAGCTGAATGTTCTGATTGTACAAAGTATGCAGAAATAGATAAAGTAGATTCCCACAAATGTATAAAAATGAAACAATGTGAATCACCTTGTGACTTTAGTCTGTGATAAACGTTCTATAAATAAACTTTACATCCTTACTAATGCTGAGTCAGCATTAGTAAGGATGTTTCAGCGGACACAAGCCTTATTGCACAACTGATATGAAATCGTTAAGAATGGACTTTTCTACCTTCGTGTTACTGATGTTCGCTGTGCGCTTCAGTCCTAATAAAGCTGCGGGGGACCGACGACGTGAGCGAGGACGTCCAGGAGATGCGGGAGGAGAGCCAGAGGATGCTGAGGGAGAAGAAGGTCACCATCCCTGAGCTGTTCCGCTCTCCGGTCCACCGCCAGCCCATCCTGGTTGCCATCATGCTGCAGCTGTCTCAGCAGCTGTCTGGGATCAACGCCGTAAGTCAAACAGCAGCTTTTAGCCAGAGGAAGGTGTGAGCGATCTGCTGCACCGCCTGAGCCACAGCCACCAGAATTACATGAACTCAAAATCCAGCAGATGTCAGAGAAACAGATTCCATGTTTGGTTGCATTCTCTCAGTCTACACAATATGTAGCAGTACTGTAGTATCATGTAGCAGTACTGTAGTATCGTGTAGCAGTACTGTAGTATCGTGTAG